GTTCAGGCCAGGTTGTTAAAGGGCTTCAGGTGATTTCAATGTGTGGTAATTGGGCAAAAGAAGTGGAATACGGCACTACAGACCATCGTAAATAATTGCACGTCCAGTTCTCCTTCCATCGCCATATATTTGATCCCCTTTACCCTCATCTACCACCCTCCTCCCCCCTTACCCTCTGGTAACCACCAAACTATTGTCTGTGTCTATGAGTTTTTGTTTCTTCATTTGTTTGTTTTGTTCTTTCACTGTTTTCAGCTTTATTGTATATCCCACATATCAGTGAAATCATATGGTTCTCCACTTTTTCTGTGTGACTTATTTTGCTTAGCATAATAATCTCAAGATCCATCCATTAATTAAAAATATAAAAAATAAAAATAAATAATTGCACATCCACCACCAAGAGTCAGTTCTCCTTCCATCACCATATACTTGACCCCCTTTTCACAATGCAATATATAAATGATATAGTATAGAAATGTACACTTGAAACCTGTATAATTTTACTAACCAATGTCACCCCAATAAATTTAATAAAAATTAAGAAAAAAACAAAAAATAATAATAATTGCACATCCTAGTGTACAAGCATAAAATGAAAGACTTGACTGCTTTTAGTTATTTAATGTTTTTTTCACCCACTTCAATCATGGCTACGAAAAATAGTTCAAATATTCTTAAATCCCAATAGTGATACTATCCTTTCTTAGGAATTCTAAACAGTGGAATTAAGCACATTTTCTAAGGAATTCTAAACAGTGGAATTAAGAATATTTTCTAAGGATTAAATATACTATACTTAGCCATATCTTGGAATAACTTTTAATTAGCATTTTCTATTAGCACTTTTAGCATTGTTTAGCATTATTAGCACTTTTCATGTATCAGACCCAATACGAATGGTAGGTATTAATATTCCTCATTCACCCCCAGTGTCCACAGGCTCTTGGCTAGATTCTATTTAAGGCTCTTTCCATTTAACCCCAGGAGTTATCACCTAATGCAAGGCCATAAATGGTTCTTGTGGTTGCATTCTCTTACTTTTACTGTCAACTTTTTCTTTTAATGAATACTCCTTGATTTTAAAACATTTTTTGAAATGGATATTCTTTAATATGACTGATTTTACTGACATCATTCAGGGGCTTATACTGAACAAACTGATATCAAAACAGTCATAGTACTTTTACCACTCAGGACCTTTAAGAAGAATACACAGAATATTATGGTTTTCAAATCTCCTCTGGCCTTTATTCTTAAAAGTCTTTACTGCAGACATTTCTGTTCATTCCATAAAAGTCTTTTAACGTTCTTGTAGCTTAGAAAACACCAAGCCTTACTAGTTAAATCAATACATATTTAGGGCCAGTATTAGTCACTGCTTCCTCTATGCTGCCACTGTATGCTGCCCATCGCTCTCTCTTATTTCACCCAGCATGCATTCTAACTAGCCATTTACTTCTCTTTCTCCCTTTTTCTTCACTACACTACACAAAATTCTCTGGGTTCAGGGCACATCTTATCTTCTTTATGTTCTTTCCATGTCTATGCATATAGTAGGCACTCAATAAATGTTTGCTGAATTTAACAGAAAAGAGCTACAGTTTGGGAAGCAATGCAAAGTGGTGGTCTAGAGAAGTACTGCTCAAACTGCAATGCATCATGGGTCATGAAATCAATCGTGGATTGTGAGCAGCATTTTTTTTTAAATGGAATTTTGAATAGAATAAAATAGGCAAGACTAGTAAATGGTGGTAAGGGTTCAGTGGTAAGGGTACTATTCTGTGAAACTTTGCTTCAGTGTTTATATGCATGCCTGCACACATGTGCGGGGTTGGGCTATAAAATACATCTCACTGTGAGTCACAGTTGCAAATACTCATAGTCCCCGGCTTAGAACATGAACCCTGGAGTCGTTTCTCCTGGGGTCATACTGAGGCTCTGCAATTAGCCATATGACTTAGCAACTTAACAACTTTCTCAGTTTCTTCATCTATAAAATGGGAATAGTAAGAACTCCTTATTCTTAGGATTTTTATGAAGAATATAGGAAATAATCTCTATGAAGCATTAGACATGGTGCTTGGTTTAGAGTAAATTATTATAGATGTTGTTATTTCACATCCCTTTTGATCCTGAAAACCAGCTCTTGTTCACTTTCATATTGAAAGAACAATAATATACTTGGACAGTAATGCCTCAGAGCTACACTGAAAGTCTGACTTACTTTTCTCAAATTTTAAAGGCAGATATTGCCAATATGGAATTCCCTTACCAGTTCGCTCCTTTACAATATGTGAATTACCTCTTCCTCTGCTCACCCTCTCAGGGAGCATCCACTGAAGATTGCCTCTACCTCCTTTGAGAGGTATTCTCTGAAAACAGAGAGGATTCTTGACTTCTTCCAGACCAAAGATTAAAATAAACAGTTCTGATGTTTTAGAACTCTTAGAGGTTATCCCATGATTTATTATAAATCATTAGCAATCATAAAAATCTTTGGACTTTCAATGGCAAACACAGAACGGAGTAGAGGCAATCATTTAGCTGACACTGTTTCTAACTTAGCAGCATTAAGACAATTTCAGCCATAATGGAAATACTTATGCTACCAACTTAAGCAATTGGAGATTTAAAAGATAACATTATGAAAGCACATCATTTGGCTGTTCAACAAATTTTTTTTTTTAAGTTAGAACAAGGCTGTAAATTTGACCCTAAAAGAAACTTATGCGTAGGTCTGAACTACCAACCAGTCCTCTCTGTTGGCATACAACATCATATATTACAATACGTACATGGCTTAATTCACTAAAACACTAACAAAAACAGTTTTATGGGAAAAACAATACTACTGGAAGCTATCTCCAAAGATAGCTTCCTGGGTATATCAAAAAGCCAAAGCTGCTTAAAACACAACCCACTGAATTCTCTACTTAAAAAAATAAATTTTTCACCTAGCCATAGACACAAGCAATTAATCACATATAGCATAATGTAAGTCTGTTTACAAGCACCAACCACAGCTCTTTCAAAGCAACTTGTGTAGTTTCTTTGGAAGACCACCCCCCCAACCCCTTTTTTCAGTCTTTATAAACTCTGTCCCTTTCTTTCCACCTCAGAATATAGTTGGGTTTCTACCTGAATCTGTCTTTCTAGAATTGCAATTCCTAAAAGACTCCCTAATAAGCTTTTGTTTACCTTGCAGTTCTTGGTCAAATTGATTGACATCCCTGTCTCCCAGGAGCTTAGAGATCCATCCCTGAATCTGAGGGGCTAGCCAAACACATGGGTAAAAATAAAGAAATTAATGTTTTCAATCCCAGTTTTTTACCCATATAACATCAGATGGTATGTCTTTAATGATCATAGAATTACCAGATTCTTTTAGATTTGGTTTTAAAATGTAAACATCCAGGGAATGGTAACATCCAGGGAATGCTAACGCATTCTCTGAAATGCAAGGGAGGGTTGATGCATCAACGAAGCTAGAACAAGAACAAACTGTAGCTCAGGACTGTCATTCAGAGCCTTCTGTTTGTTCTCTCAGTCACAATAAGGTATGTGGTTTCTCTGAACATGCCATTCTTGTTTTATTTACTCAGATACTTCCTTCCCATTGTCAATATTTGTCCTGAGCTTCTCAGTTAGAGTCAGGCCCACTTGTTGGTAAAATAGCTCATTGACAGAAAGAACACATTTTAGCCAGTCAAATCCACAAATCCCAGCTTTAAAAAAAATTATATTAAATAATTTCACTGCACAGTTTTCCTAGGAACCAGAGTTATCAAAAATAATTTGGAATTAGAATTATATGAAAATCCATTATTTTTGTTATCATTTTTATTTTTGGATTTATATAAATATCCTTTTTAAAAAAAATCTAACTGCTATATTAACATGATTCATAAAAGCCGGACCCTTAAATTATTCACCTAGTTGTAATTCAAGGACATCCCCATAAGAGACACAGCCTAGGTAATGAAATCTTGCCAGGGTAAAGATTATAAAGATTTCTTTGTCTTAGCACCATAAGTCAAGACAAGAAATATGCTCTGTCCATATGGAAACCAAAATCCATTTACCAGCTAGTTATTATCTCAAATTGGGGTAAGAAGGAAGAATAGGAGAGAAAATGTTTAGAGAGACAGCTCTGGGTCCTGGAATAAAACCGTACTAATTGTCCCTAAAAGAGAGCGTTAATGCTAGTAATTAACTGCTGGAGCTATGTCAACAGCTTAGCCATCAAAAAAGGACAGCCTTTTACCTGAAAAGCCTTATTGCTCCATTATATTGTACATAGTTCAACACATGCCAAAGAGGTCCTCCAAAGTTATAATTTAGATATGGTGAACACTGGGATATGTTTTAGCAAAGGGAAGAAATGGGTTCTAGATAAAATGGATTGAGTATAGGATCATGGAAGTCTGAAGCCAAAAGGAAACTTGAAAATCATCTAACAGATTGGCAGTGCTCAGGTCAAATCTGATTTCTAGATCTCTAGAGGTGTTTTGTTTGGCTTAGCAAATTGTTATTTTATTTTATTTTTAGCAATTTTGAATGGATTTCCAACGTTTTAATATGGGAAGATTTCACATAAAAATCTGAATTTCCAGATTCTCTTGAAAAATCAGAAGGCCTGGCAACACTGGGCCCTCATTCTTATGTAACAACTGGCTGGAGCTGAATAACTTCGGTCCTCATTGAATGGGCATGTTCTCTCTAGTTCCTTCTACTCCCTAACGTCTCCCTGACACAAGAGCAAAATTGACCTGCATTTAGAGTTTCCCCTGTGCTCTCCTGACAGCCCCATTCTTCAATTTGATTTGCTCATTTATGATGCCTGTCTCCCCTGGGTGAACCTTGTGAACTTACTGCCACTGATCTTATCAACTCCTCAATTTCCTCATCTGTATGAGGAAACTGGGATTTAGAGATGTCATGCTAGGGAAGAGATCCAGTGTCAAGATCTCTTAATGACCAACCCAATGAATACTCACCTATTTCCAAGTTCTGCTCTCAGGTTCAGAAGGGAAAACAGCAGAATTTGTAAACCAACCCGAGTCTTAGAATAGATGAAAATATCTGGAGATTTAACAGAGTAAAATACAAGCAAAATGAGGACCAGACACTTAGATACAAGTTGGTATAATCATCTCCCTATATCTCAAACTCTTATCCATGCTCCATATATTGCCAAGCTCTTGTGTCATCTTATCTCTGCTCCATTCAACCCATATTCCCACAAAGCTTGGCCCAAATAGTAATGTTCTGGTGAACAAAATCTATGATGATGCTGTCTACACTGGTGTTTTCTTTTGCCTAATATGTTTTGCATAATTTGTACATGATTATATAGAGGCCAATCAGTTGTCTGAATACACACTTTAGTATGTAGTACACAAACTAGTGCATTTGTTATATCACCTTCAGAATAAAAATCAAGACAACACAGCAACATATATGATATACAGAAATATAAAAAGAACTGATGCATTTGAGGTATTTATTGAGAATAATGAGAAGAATATTTAAAATTGATACTCTTCCAGGTAATCTGGCAGGTCTAGTCTTTGTATTTAATGCTATCACATTTATTATTGTTTTTCTTATGCCATATCTCATCTTTTCTCAAAGAGCTTAATAGTTTCTTTTGAGTGGATCATAAAAGTATAAGATTGTATAGTAGTTTGAAGATGTATTAAAACATTGAAATATGTGATTTTGTAAAGTAAAATTAATTAGAATGATGTGTACAGCATGAGTATAGTTAACATACTGTATCACACATACAAAAGTTGCTAAGAGAGTAGACCTTAAAAGTTCTCACCTAAAAAAAAATGTGTGGTAATGGATGTTAACTAAATGTATTATAGTAATCATTCTGCAGTATATATGTATATCAAATCATTGTGTTGTATACCTAAAAGTAATACAATGTTATATGTCAATTATATCTCAATTAAAAAGAAAAAGGTTTTACAGTCAAGATGGCAGAGTAGGTAAATACTGTGCTTGCATCCTCTCATGACCACATCCAAATTACAATTAAACTATAGAACTATCATCATTGAGAATTCCTGGAAGTCTAGCTGAACCAAAGCCATATAACCAAGGACATACAGAAGAAGCCACCTGGAGACTGGTAGGAGGGGTGCAGTGGGGCTGGTCCCACACTCACATATGACCATTAAAATTCGGGAGGCATATCTCAGCTGCAGAGGTCCTCCCTGAGGGCAAGAGGTCCCAGCCCCACACCAGGCTCTCCGGCCCAGGGTTTCAGTGGTAGGACAAGAAGTCTCCATAATTTCTGGTTGCGAAAACCAGTGGAGATTGTGGCTGAGTGAGTGAGTGAGATGGAGGGTGGCTACAGTCCCAGGCAATCCTCTGAAAGGACCCGTGCATGGACTTACTCACTGACAGACTCATTCACTGACCTCCAGTGCTGGGGCAGCAGTTTGAAAGGTGTCAGAGACTTATGGAGAAGAACTGAGTTGTCCAGCTGCAAGGTGAGGGCTGGAGGGGCAGCTTTCTCCTGAATGGGGGAGCTGGCAGAGGCCATTGTTTCTTTGTTGAGCCCTACCCACTCCCAGGGTGCAGAGGCAGGTGGGCATCATAAATGAGTATCTATCAACTTGGTTAACACCATTGGCTCTGCTCTACCCTGGTGATTCTGCGGCCCCTCCCTGTCCAATTTCCCAGCACATGAAAGCCACTTCCAGGGGTTTTTCCATACAAATAGCCTACCTTGACTCATGCTGCAAACTTTCCTAAAATCTCTCAAAGGTTTACAAAAACCAAACAAGCAGCATCTGGCTTCAGTGTGTCCTGTACCTCCAGCTGAGCAGCCCTAAGACTGGCAACTAGCAACAGCTGGTCTTGGTTCACAGCTTGGCCTCTCAAGGCACCTCAAAGCTCAGCATAGGCAGGAACCATTTGTGGATTGCTTTGTGGCTCATGCCATGTGGCCCCAGGCAGGGCATAGGCTGCAGCTGAACTTGGCCTACAGTGAGTTCCCATCCAGGAGGTCCCAGGGCTGGCACACCCAGTGGCCACCTTTGGACTGAGGCAGAGCATCAATTTACCACCTCCAAGGATGACACACCCAAAGAGCAGACAGGGCAGGTACCAGAGTCCTGCTAAAATGAACCCTGTTCTGTAGGGTCAGCCTCTGCATGACAACTCCTCCACTGTAGTCACGGCCAGTCCTCACAAACAACCAGCCCAAGGGTCAATCCCATTCATTGTGTGCAAACAGCAACCAAGATTCAGCTACAAGAGGAGAGCACGTACAACCCAAACAAGGAATACATCTGAAGTGCCAGACTCAGGTGACCAGGGAGACTGAGCCACTGGGCCCCACAGGATACCTACTACATAAGGCCACTCTACTAAGACTGGGAGACATAGCAGTCCCAGTAATACAAACAAACAAAAAACAGGGAGGCAAAAAAAACATACAAACAAAAACAGGGAGGCAGCTAAAATGGGAAGACAAAGAAACATGTCCAAAATAAAAGAAGAGAACAAAGCTCCAGAAAAAAAAAGAAAAAGAAAAAGAAAAAAACTAAACAAAATGGAGACAAGCAATCTACCAGACGCAGAGTTCAAAACACTGGTTATAAGGATGCTCAGTCATCTCAGGGAGAACTTCAACAAAGAGACAGGAAACATAAAAATGGAGATAGAAAACATAAAAAGCACTAGTCAGAAACAAAGAATACAATAACTGAAATGAAGAATACATTAGAGGACATCAACAGTACATTAGATGAAGAAGAGGATGGAATCAGCAATTTACAAGTTAAGATAGCAGAAAACACTTAATCAAAACAGCAAAAAGAAAAAAGAACACCCCAAAATAAGGATAGGTTAAGGTACCTCTGGGACAACATTAAGCACACCAACATTCGTATTAAAGAGGTAACAGAAGGAAAAGAGAGCGAGCAAGGAATTGAAAACCTATTTGAAGAAATAATGACAGAAAGCTTGCCAACCTGGTGAAGGAAATAGACATACAAGCCCAGGAAGCACAGAGAGTCCCAAACAAGATGAACCCAAAGAAGTCAGCACCAAGACACATCATAATTAAAATGCCAAAAGTTAAAAAGAGAGAATCTTAAAAGCAGCAAGAGAAAAGCAGTTTGTTACCTACAAAGGAGCTCCCAAAAAACTGTCAGCTGATTTCTCAACAGAAACTTTGCATGCCAGAAGGGAGTGGCATGAGATACACAAGGTGATGCAAAGTAAGGACCTACAACCAGGATTACTCTACCCAGCAAAGCCCTCGTTTAGAATTGAAGGAAGATAAAGAGCTTCCCAGACAAGAAAAAACTAAAGGAGTTTCTCACCACCAAACCAGTATTACAAGGAATCTTAGAGTGACTTCTGTAAGAAGAAAAAGGAAAAAAAAAAAAAAAGCTCAAAAATATGAATAACAAAACAGCAATAACTACATATCTATAAACAATTAGTTTCAATGTAAAATGATTAAATGCTCCAATCAAAAGACATAGGTTGGCTGAACGGATAAGAAAACAAGAATCTTACACATTACATATGCTGCCTCCAAGAAACTCACTTCGGATTAAAAGACACATACAGGCTGAAAGTAAAGGGATGCAAAGACATTACATGAAAATGGAAACAAACAAACAAACAAAAATCTGTAGTAGTAATATTTATGCCAGACAAAACAGGTTTTATTTATTTATTTATTTTTTAAAGATTTTTATTGGGGAATTGGGGGATGGGAACAGCGCTGAGGAATTGGGGGGAGGGGAACAGACAAGTTGCTATCCTTTTTATTCTTCAGTCTAGTTGTGGAGGATGTTGCTTCACTGGCCCAAGTTGGCACCATCATTGCGCTCTTCCCAGGCGAGGCAGATCAGTCGCCGGCTTCTGGATGGCTGTTCACTGCGGCTGCTGGCCACTCATGCTGGCTGCTGGCTACACACGGTAGCCCATGGCAACCCACGGCAGCAGGGGTTGCAGCCTACGCGGACACCGGCCACTCACACAGCCCAGCTCCAGGGTGAGCTGTTGTTCAGCATCTTAGCTGTGGAGGGCAGTGTCACTGGCCCTCATATGTGGGACCGAACCGGCGCCCTCTGGCATCCCAAGCCAGCTCTTAACCACCGCGCCACTCCACCGGCCCAAAACATACTTTAAAACAAAGGTTATAACAAGAGACAAATAAGGACCCAGTAATTGCACTTCTGGGTATTTATCCAAAGAAACCCAAAATGCTACTTTGAGGGTGTGTATGCATCCACATGTTCATTGTAGCATTGTTTACAATGGCCAAGATATGGAGGCAGCCTGGGTGTCCCTGAATGGATGAACAAATAAAGAAGAGGTGGTACATATATACAATAGAACACTAATCAGCCATAAAAAAAGAATGAAATCTTGCCATCTTCAACAACATGGATAGACCCAGAGGGTATTGTGCTGAGTGTAATAAATCAGACAGAGGAAGACAAATGTCACATGATTTCACTTATAAGTGGAATCTAAAGAATAAAATAAATAAACGAATGAAACACAAACAAATTCATAGATACAGAGAACATTTAATGGTTGCCAGATGGGAGTGGGGTGGGTGAAAAGGGGAAGGGAATACGAAGTACAAATTGGTTGTTACACAGTAGTCATGGGGATGTAGGGTATGTAGCATAAGGAATATAGTCAATAATATGGTAATATCTATGTATAGTGCAAGGTGGGTACTAGTCATGTAGATCACTTCTCAAATTATATAAATGTCTAACCACTATGCTGTCTTCCTGAAATTAATATAAAATAATATTGAATGTCAACTATAATTGAAAAATTAAAAAGGGGGGGGAGAGGAAATGGAATAAGGGGTTCAAATTTCCAGGTATAAAACAAATAAGTCATGGAGATGTAACATACAGCATGGGGAATATAGTCGATGATATGGTAATAGCATGATGTGGTGTTAGATGGTTGCTGAACTTATCATGGTGATCACTTCTTTAGGTATATAAATGTTGAATAACTATGGTGGACCCCTGAAACTAATATAATATTGAATGTGAGCTATATTTTAATAAAAACCTTTGAAATTAAAAAAAAAATAAAGTAAAAATGATGGGAATGAGGATGCAAAGAAAAAAACTGAGAAACACTCCTGCAGGTAGCAGGCCTAATTTCTAAATACCATTAATAACACTTATCATGCATTATGCCCTTGTTATGTTATAGCACAATCATTCAAAAGATAAGCTATCAAGGCTGACTTCTTGAGTTTAAATCCTGGTCCCTTCATTTATTTAGATGAGCGACCTTTTTAAAATACTCAGTCTAAGATAAGAATTATGCCTTTATAGATAAAATAAGGTGTGTGGCTCATTGGATATATCATGGTTAATAAACATTAATAATTATTATGATTATTGGCAATTGAAACAAAGAATAGAAGGTGACTTTACTCTACATATTGGCCTAGGAAAGTAGACATGATTTCCTATCCAAAATTTTAATCAAACTAAGAGTTGTTATACCATAAGACCACAGATTTGGGGGTGGGGGAGAGGACTGGATTTAAATAAAAATAGATTTAATAATGGGTCATTTCTTCTGGAAAACTAACATCACCATACTTTTGTTTTCAGAGATCTAGAGATCAGATTTGGCCTGAGCATGCCCCCAAAATTGAAGGCTATTTGAAATGCATTACTCTTCTATAAAAACATTTATGGGAACAAAATACCACTGAGATTTTATATATATACTTATTTTAGGGACAAGCTCGGAAAATTGAACTTCAAGGTATAAACTACAGTTAAGGATGCTTACATTGTTGGTAAAATATATAATAATGTTCAATCACATTTTAGTTTCTTAGCATGGCTGGCAATATTCTCCATAATCTAGCACCATCCTACCTCCCAGACTATCTATCCTAAATTCCAGGCTCCAGGTACTCTAACCTTCTCTGCTCCCTGTGAACACATCAGACTTCCATACCTCTGTGCTAGTCCCTTGTTCCAGCAGGCCTCCTTTGCACTGAGGAAATCCTTTCCCTCCTCAACTGCGGGCTCAAAGGCTATGTACACAAAACTTTATTCATTTTTAACCTTGAATGAACCTGTCCTTTTCTCTGCCACACTAAGAGCACACTATTAACGCTGTTGCCGTATGGCTCCATTTACAATCTGTTGTATTGTAGATAGCTGTAAATATGCATATTTTCCCCTGTAGGCTAAACTCTTTCAAGGCAGGGACCCTGTGCTCTTCCCATGAACTAAGTTTTAAGTTAGAGTTCAGTCTCAATCTACAGGGAATCTACAAAGAATTTCCCAAAGAAAAGGCCAACTAGCTCAAAATACATGCATTCTTGCCATTTTTAATCAAAAGTCATTATGTGATAGTTTCTTGGAAAGCTATAGTTACACAAGCAAGACATTGCTTCTTTTGCACCTCCCCACTGGCTTTCTATACCCAAGTGCATCCTATGAATTAAGTTCAAGAGATATCCCTCTTGAGAAAAAGACTACAAAAAAAAAATCGGGGGTTCAAAAGATTGAGAGATAAACCTTGAAAATCTGACCACATCTGTCTGTCATCCTCCAGCTCTGGTTTCATAACCCGATCCACCCCCAAAAGCACCATTATCTGCCCTGATACAGACTCAAACGCCAACCAATGCACATCATCAGCACCACCTTTTCAGAGTCACAGTCAGAAGTCAGAAAAGATTTCCAAGTGTCCTGATCTACCTCCTCATATCTTTTGTCCTTTCCTATATTAATCCTGTAGATATGTAGGGCCCTTGTTACCCGACCAGCCTACGTACATTAGAGAAGAAACAGAAAAAGATGTTCTTCAACCATCAGTGGTGCTAAAAGCATGAGTTGTTGCAAAATTGCAGGTTCAACAATTTAATTATGTAACCTCCACTTCTCAGGGCCTTAGAAAAACATTTTCTGGCGATGATACGGGTACTAACCCTTATCTGCATTCACAAGTCATTTAAAAGGAGGTGTCATTGTATCATGAATAATCCATGCTTTTGCTTCAGAATCTACTCTAGCTTCCTCAGTTCTCTTCCTGCACCAGACAGCAGAATTTCTCATAGCTGAAACCAACCCAAATCTACGAAACTGTTGGGACACACCCAATTAACAAATTTGATGGAACAACTGATTACTCTGGGGGCCGGAGATCCACCTACAGTCAGAATTACTATGCAGGTAATTAAAGGTTTTTAAAAAATACACCCAAACTAACTGTGACATAGGAAATTGGTCCCAAAAGATGTTATATGAAGTAACTTATTATATAAGTAATACATTTAGTGTAAATCTTGCCCAAGCCTCCGGGGTGGATTGACCTGGGCTGGACTAGACTTAGCATCCCAAGACGCATTGATTTCTTTTTGATGACCAATGTTTTAAATGTTTATCAGCTCTTTCCAAAGCCTCTGGGCGCTGCTAAAACCACAGTAGGTCGTTTAGGGCGAGCCACAGATGGAGTTTTCAGCACCAAGAACTCCCAAGTTCCTGCTCGGTGTCCAGGAGGCCCAGGTGCGGGCGCCGTCCGCAGCGGTCGTGGAGGCTGCGGGCTCCTACGTTCGCCCAGGGCTGACCTGGTGGTGCTGAATTTGGTGCAACCGTGCGGTATCCGCCCGCCCCGCACGCTGCTTTCCTCACAGCCGGGGAGAACCCGGGGCGCCTCAACCCCGACCCTCCCGGGGGCACCTTTGGGCACCAACTACCAACCAGGTAGTGGAGGCCTCGCTGCCCTCCAGGAAATAGGGGCCCTCCTGAGTCGCAGCCTTCTCCTGGCCCGCACACACACTCCCCGCTCTGCCATCAGCAGCCCCAGGAGCTGTCTGTCTCGAGCGTCCCGGGACAGATCTCAACCGTGAATCCCATCCGAGGACAGCGTCCTCCC